TCCTGCCACTTCCTCTTTGGTCTCCAAGTTTCCCTACTTAAGAAATTTCACCTTTAGGCTGTTATTACAAATAGAAGGCGTCTGAAATCCTGGAGCTCTGCTAACTCTTGTGTATTTAAAATGGCTAAATTAGCTCTTTTTTAAGGAGCAATTTCCATCCAATATTATATTTTTATTTATCTTGCAACTCTTGGCACTTTTTGATTCTGCTCAATTTAGAATATGGTTTAGTATGCAGAAACTTTGACACTTGACAGTAAACACATATACTGATCTTTATATAAGAAAATGAAGACACTGTTCTCTTGGGATGGGCTTGTGTTTTAGGATGCTTTCGCCAACAGTGTATGATTTTGTGCAGAGCCTAGAGTGCTTTCTGGTCTGATCTTCCTGGAGAAATCTTAGGGCTCATGAAGTTGTGAAGTGGATTGTGTGGGAGTTAAATTTCACTTTTGTAACTAGAAGTGTTCCTCTATATAAAGCTCATTCTAAAAAATAAAGGCTAAAGCCATGATTTTAACAGCCTTGAAAAACCAACCCAAGGTCATTCTTTCTCTTGCTTCATAGAAAAATAACAATGGGTGATTTTGAATCCTTTGGAGAGCTCAATTTTCATTTTATTTTATTATTAGTTTTCTTACATTGCTTAAAGCATGCCAGAGTACTAAAGAAAGGCAAAAAATGTTTGAATTGTCATGTAAGAAATATGCTGATTATTGTTAGCACTGGACTATTCCTTTACACATGGGCATCATAACCTAACAATTTCACAATAATCAGTTTTTAATTGATCTTGTTCTGAGATAAGGGTGAGATGAAATGAGATGGATTATAGAATGATTAAATCTTCATCTAGAAAAGAGAAATGTTATTAGTCAAGAGAGAAGCTATACAAAAGTGATGACATTAATGACACTTTCAGTATTTTTTAAAGGTCAGGCTTTTGATTCTAAAATCAACTGGTGTGCTGTGGCTTTTAAGGAGGCATTGTTGTAGCTGGGATTTGAGTGAAAAGAGTTAAGTGTAAAGGATATTTTATTGTACTTAGAAGTAAATTACTTGGGTTTCACAATAATTTAAAATTTAAATATTCCTCCTTTTACTTTTTATATAAGAAATTGTTATTAAAAATGAGAAAAATGATTAAGCAATTTCCTTTAATTATTGTATGATGTTTGAAAGCACCTGTGATCATTACTTTCAGCTCAAATTGTATACCAAAGAAAAGTATGAAATCAACTCTAATGAGCAACTCAGATACTGTCTGAACTCTTAATACAAAGACAGCATTAACATCAAGAAGAAATTCTCTACACAGATAATCCTAGAATTATCAAAGTAATCATTAGATTGGTAATAAAAATGATTTTTTTTAGCAGTAGCACAGTGCTAACAATAGACCTTCCTTAAAACAGTTCTAAAATTCAGGTCTGAAATAAATGGAAAACATGTGAAATCTTTGGGACAGAATTATTCTAAAATCACAAAACACAGTAAAACAGGAAGCTATTCATATATTTTTACCTTTTACTCATATCAATTATGGTTATTGTTACATGATAGAATGAGTTTTCTGATTTTAAACTACAAGGGGTTTCAAAAAGCTTGTGTGGGCCGGCGCCGCGGCTCACTAGGCTAATCCTCCGCCTAGCGGCGCTGGCACACCGGGTTCTAGTCCCGGTCGGGGCGCCGGATTCTGTCCCAGTTGCCCCGCTTCCAGGCCAGCTCTCTGCTGTGGCCAGGGAGTGCAGTGGAGGATGGCCCAGGTGCTTGGGCCCTGCACCCCATGGGAGACCAGGATAAGTACCTGGCTCCTGCCATCGGATCAGCGCGGCGCGCTGGCCGCGACGGCCATTGGAGGGTGAACCAATGGCAAAGGAAGACCTTTCTCTCTGTCTCTCTCTCTCACTGTCCACTCTGCCTGTCAAAAAAAAAAAATTAAAAAAAAAAAAAGAAAAGAATAGCCACAAAGCATACCACTTAGAGTTAATCATCACTAAACTTTAAGGGCCATATAATATAAATGATCAACTTCTTGATTCTTGGCCAAATGAGGTTTAATCCTATCATTTTATTTGGAAAATTAACAGGCAAATTTCCTACTGAGAACATTGCATCCACATTAAGAACAGTGTGAGTATATGTAATTCTGAATTTCTGCCTCCTGGATGAGAATTAAAGAAATAAAAAATACATAAATTATCTGCCTTCAGGTTGGTAGAATGCAATATCTCACAGCATAACTTGTAGGGTATAATTGCTTGGAATTTCCTCATTTCCACCATTTTCATGAAGACTACTCCATTAATTAATAGTTCTCTTGAACAGAAGGTACAGCTTCTTTGGAAATCAGTGCAATGAACTGAGCTCATAATCTTAATTTCTTTTGTTCCCCCTACTGAGATTTCCTTCAATTTACTTGGATTTTTGCCAGTAAAGCAATTCAAGGTGTATGTAAAGAAATAATTGTGCCTCCTTTCCCTCATGTGGCTTCCTTTTGTACATTGCCTAAAATTGTGTTTCTTCCCTCTATTTCTTCAATATCACTTTATAATGTGAATTTTATCCTTTTTGTTTTTCTTCATTACTTTGGGTCTCTATATGGTCTCTGGTATGCTAGGATCCTCCCATATATTACATTGCAGTGTATAATATTCAATTCTTCTCCATGATATATCAGGCACCCTCATTCTTATTCTATCGCCATCTCTTTCTCTCTCTCCTTATATCTATCTATCTATTTATCTATCTATCTATCTAACTGTCTCTCCTTGTCATTTTCAGTGACATGCAGGATTCTTATATCAGGCTGGCATTAATAGCCAGAGAAGAAAGGTTGTCATCCAGCAGGCTTATTAGAAGACCATTATCAGTACGGCTGGTGGCCAGCCTTGTCCTAACAACCAGACATTGAAACAAGCATTGTTTGTGGCATGAAATAACCTTAACTAGTTGTTCTTTGCATAAGGAAAAAAATCAACTGAAAAATGATTTGCCATTGGAAGCAGATTTTCCAGAGTGATGACAGAAATGATAGTGAACATATAGAATTGAAGCCAGCAAAACAATATAATTGAATTCAGCTGCAGTGCTGGAGTAGGCTTCTGGAGGTCCCCTGCTTATCTAGACATTAACACCATGGTTGCTGGATCATTGAGAGTTTTAGTGGAGGGGAGTGTGAATGAGGAATAGGGGTGACTAGGATGTCAGGGAGGGCAGAAGAGGGGGTTGCAGAGGTTTAGTTTTTAGGTGATATTGTAGCATTATATATTGTAGTATTTAAGCATGTCAATAAACAGCATGACTGATTTTTGCATACCAGTTCAATGTCAGCCTTTTGGGTCATAAGTTTGTCCTTACTCATGTTCTGTCTTTGGGTCTTCATTGAGTCAAAACACACATATACTAGATAAATATACCTATTTTATAGATGAGGAAATAGAGACTCAGAGAGGAAAGTCACAGGGGTCTCTGTTGGAGCTCAGATATGAAGTCAGGACTGACAGATACAAAAGATACTTTAGAAACTGAAATCATAACACAACAATATTCATTACTGTTCTCTAACATTTGCTAAGGGCTCTTGCAGATGTTACTTAATCCTTATAGCAACCTTGTGAAAGATTGTGTATATTACTGTCAATCCCTTCTTTCAGATTTGGGTAATCTGAGTTCAGGAGAACTAATTTTTTCAGAGATATTAAAAAACATGAACAAAAGATGGAAGAGTTATTAGACTGCAGAATCTGGACTTACAGGTGCTCAAATGTTCTGAGTTCAGAACACCTGCTCCCTTACCACAAGCCATCCCCAAATCTCCAACTTTACATTTCCTACATCATCAGCAAGGCTTGATTTCTTCTACAAAGATGGCTGTGATAATACATGGCCAATGGTCATACATTAGAGTTGTTGCCCTCAGCACTGGCTTAGCACTCAGCCTTGAGAGAGAGAGAGAGAGAGAGAGAGAGAGAGAGAAACCTCACACCTGCTGGTTCACTCTCCAAATGTATAGAACAACCAGAGCTGAGCCAAGGTATAGTCAGGAGCCTAGAACTTCATCCAGGTCTCCCATGTGGGTGGTAGGGACTCAGGTACTTGAACCATCAGCATCTGCTGCCTCCCCAGAAACGTTAAGAGGAGCTGGATCAGAAGCAGAACAACCAGTATTTGAACCAGACATTCCAATATGGGATGCAAGTGTCGCTAGCACAGCATAACCTGAAAGCCACAATGCCCACCCCTGGATATCTTTATTTTCTTCTTCATACTTACTGCATTCTCAGATTTTACTGTGTTGTTACTGTGCATAACTTTCTTTTGTAATCAGGAAAAGAACTGTTTTCATACAAAAAATATAGCAACATGAAACATGCCTTTGCTATAGCATTAAGTGAAGTAGCCAGAAATATATGCACTTGCATTGAAATTAAGATGTTGTAAAAAAGAGATGCATACAGAAAGAAGTCAAGCAAAAATACAAAGCAATACTAACAGTCCTGAGTCAGGATGGCTGGCATGTGAATGTTATTTAAAAAATTTTTGTTTTCCATGAAATGGTTATGTGATTCTCAGAATAAAATACATTTATTAACATAGAAAAGGAAACATATTTAGCTTACAAAATATTTGACTTGTAAAAATCAGGCAAACAAATCACCTTAAGATAACAGATTTGTTTCCATTTTCTTTGTATAGGTGAATATATTTTATATAAAATTTATGTTAGAGGTTCAGAGGCCCCTAAGTTTCTCAAAACACACACATACATGGACATGAAATAAGGAAGGTGGTTTAGGGAACAGTTCCATTTTGTTCCATGGGTTTGGAGCTAGAATAATTTCCCAGGGCTCCTGCTGTATTCCTACCACAGCACCACTATTTCAACACCTCCCTATGTCTGGGTTGGAATACTATTGCTCAACTCCTTTCACATGTTTCTTGTCTGTAGTTATTTCAGGATGCAGTTATTTAAGCTTTCAATTTCTTTCAAAACTCACATTTTGGGCTTTGTAAGATCCTTCTTTAGCCAAGGACTCATATAATTGGATAGCTGCAGTTATGTTTTGCATGCCAAAATTTCCAAACAGCAAAGCATCAGCCATTTTCTCCATAGCTTTCAAGTTTCCCATGTCAGCTGCTTTTGCAAAGAGTATATAGGCTCTGTTTCAAAGACATAAAGTTGGAAATTTTTCAAAAATGATGTTTTCCCTTATTTCCTTCATACTACTTCTACCTGGTAGGATCTATTATACTTGAGACTACAGCACTGATTTTTAAGTTTTATAGCATAATAATTGCTCTCCTATAAGTAAGTTGTAAGTGGTATGAAAATTCAGTGATTAAAAATAGAGATGACTTAGGATTACCTTACACTGCATTTTTTTGAGTCCTAGTCAGAAGTCACCTGGACCTAATTTGCAATTGTATAACAAGTAGTGATGGAGAGTCTTGCAAGGTCAAAACATGCGTGAGAGAAAGAGTACTTTTGGGATTTATTTTCACTTTTGTAACTTCCTTTTTTGGTAGCAAGATCAGAAAACATTAACCTCTAACCTGTAACTTTGACTCAAATACAGGAAAAAAACACACAAATCTATTGCTTCCAATTTAGAATAAGCAGGAGGCTAAACTTTATGCATAGTCTATCCATACTGATGCTAAAACAGGCCCCTCTTGGGCAAAGCTGGAGCAGAACAGTCTGGGCAAGAAGAGCCTCAGACAATCATTCAGGTCCTAGATATCAAAATAGAGGATCAGTGCTCTCATGGATAAGAGCTGGTGGAAAAACTGGGAGCCAGAGGTCAAGAAAGAAATTAGCTGTGGCCAAAGCAAGCTAAGATTCTGGAAACTGGAAGGAAATAAGCGGAAGGTTTCAAAGGCCAATAAAAGCAAGTGCCTTGCACTCTAGGATAGATATCAGGAAGACAGCCTGACACCGGATACAGACCTCCTTGAGTCCTTCAGTTACATGGCTTCCTGCTGAGATGACATGGGCACCAACACAGACCAGGGCACAGAAAGCTGAGATGGGATGTATAGTTATCCCATAGTATATTCAGTATATCTAGCATTATATCCAGTCTCAGGAAGCAGCAACAGGCTGCAGAACAAATCCTTCTAGGTACTTTTGATCCTGGGGGCAGGGTGAGCACCTGGGTTCCCAAGTTAGGAAACCCAAGATGATATAAGGTAAAAATCTAGGGCTGGAGAAAGTCTCTGGTGGTTAGATAAGATTAATATCTGGAATGCGATCCAAGAGAAGAAAAAAAAAAAAAAAAAACAGGAGAAACTGGGAAGCAGGGCCAGTTTTCAAAAATAAAATTCAGTTACGTGTCTGGATAATTTCTAAAGGATCCAGCATGGGCTATGCTAAGGAGGGCCCCTGGGGAGCACAGGATAAATGCTTTTCCAAGGGCATGTCAGCAACTTATCTCCCAACTTTCTTGGTTGAGGGTCCTTAATGAAGGACCAAACTTGGTGGTTGTCACTGAGGTTTCCTTACTTGCTCAGACAGGTTTGTGTGTCTTTGACATATGCTTGCATAACTTCTGTACTTTTAACAGTGCTTGCATATTCAATACTGTCCCCCATTCATACCTAAGAAGAGGCTAACTGGATGAATGACTCTGCCCAGGATGTGGGTGTTGATGAATCAAAAGGGCTAGTATCATTTCTACATTGGAACTGCTTGTCATGCTGAATCCAGAGAGTCTTTGGACTTGAAGAGGCATACCAAGTGGGCCCCTGATTTTTTGGGCTCTCCTACTATAAGCAGAGCTCCTCTGAAACCTCATGGATTAGCCACTTCTCATAACTCTCTTTGTTCTCTCATATAGCTGGGCTAGTTGAGAATTCTCTGTTGTTACTCAGTGGGTACCCTAGTGTGATGACTTCTGCACTGTACTGAATTGTATTTTGGGGGCCTCATTTTATGCCAGTGTCGTCATGACAACCCCTAGGGACATTCAAAAGCTTTAGGAAGAGCCAGGTTTGAATCCAGCTTGGAACCCTGTAGGAACTGTGTACCTGGCAAACTAGAGGAAAAAGAGGGGGCATGTTTCTCTCTCTCTGACCACCCAGTACTGGCATTCTGTAACTACCTGAGAGAGGGCAGGCACCATTTTGGACATATTACATTTGTGCCAGTTTGTGTCAGCACACCCAGGAACCAGCTGAAAGGAGATGCTTGAGTCTGGCTGAGAGAACCGATAGGGGGCTGGGTACACGTGACTGCGGGAGTCTTGTAAGCTGGGATTGTGAAAACACTGTGGCTATGTGGTAGGGTACAGGGTGTGGCTGGGTCTCTGGGCAGTCACTGTGGGCAGCTCTACATGCTCAAGGCTCCCTGATTGAATGGTGAGGATCATTGCTGTGGGACCCATGCTAACACCGAGGACTGCATTGATCCTTTGTGTAGTACTTGTGGTAGCACAGTTGAATATTGCACCCACTGGGGCTAGCACCCAGCCATTGGTCACCTTGGAGGAGAGAAAATGAATGTGAAATTATGCCTACAGTACTGATAAAAACCTCTCCTCTAATAATAATAAAAAAAAAGAGTATATTTAACATTCCCAATTTGGGTGTCACCTTGGACAGTCTCTTCACCCTGGAGCACTAAACAGAACTTCCTCACCACACCCAGCACATGCCTCTGGGTATTCACTGAAAGTGTAGAAACTCCAATAAGCCACAGAGGCATAGTCCAAAGTTAAAAGCCATCAGAGGGAAAACAAAATATATCCACATCGCCACAAATATCTAAAAAGAAGTGTAGCAATTCAAGAAACAAGAATAAGGAAGACAACATGATGCCCCCAAAGAAACACAGCAACACTTTAATACTAGAATGTGAAGATGAAGAGATTGATGAAATGCTGGAAATGGAATTCAAAAAATTGATCGTAGGATTACTTAGAAGTAATTAGAAGCAAATGCATGAATTAAAGAAATCCAGATGTGACATGAAAGAAAATTTTTCTCATGAAATTCAAATTTTAAAGAGAAATCAAAATGAAATATTAGAAATGAAGGATTCAATAGATAAAAAACTGCAGTGGAAAGCCTTAACAACAGATTCTGTGAGGCAGAAGAAACAATATCCAGGTTAGAAGATAAATCTCTAGAAATTTCACAGTCAGACCAAAAAACAGAAGCATTTGGAAACTTAAAAACAGTGCTGGAGATTTACAGGATACCATCAGTAAAAGTAACATTAAGAAGAAAGTTTATAGCAACTGGCGCCTACATCAAGAAATTGGAAAGGCACTAAATAAATAAGTTATCAATCCAACTCAAGGACCTGGAAAAACAATAGCAAACCAAACCCAAAATTAGTAGGAGAAAAGAAATAATTAAAATTAGAGAAGAAATAAACAAAATTGAAACAAAAAAAATACAAAAGATTAGCAAAATGAAAAAAAAAAAAAAACAAATTGACACACCATTGGCCCAGTTAACCAAAAACAGAGGAAGAATTCCCAAATCAATAAAATTAGAGATGAAAAAGGAACTATAACAACAGACACCACAGAAATAAAAAGGATCATCAGAAATTACTACAAAGAGCTGTATGCCAACAAATCAGGAAATCTAGAAGAAAAGACTAGATTGCTGGACATGTATAACCAAACTAACTTGAGCAATGAAGACATAGAAAACCTAAACAGCCCAATAACCAAGACAGAAATTGAATCAGTAATAAAGACCCTCCCAGCAAAGAAAAGCCCAGAACCAGATGGCTTCACTGCTAAATTCTACCAGACATTTAAAGAAGAACTAACTCAAATTCTTCTCAAGCTATTCAAAACAGTTGAATGGAAAGGAATCTTCCCAAACTCCTTCTATGAAGCCAGCATCACCTTAATTCCTAACCCTGAAAAAGAAACATCAGAGAAAGAATGCTACAGATCAATTTCTCTGATGAACATAGATACAAAAATCCTCAACAAAATACTAGTTTATCAAATCCAGCAACACATCAGATGGATCATTCACCAAAACCAACTGGGATTTATCCCTGGTATGCATGGATGGTTCAACATTCCCAAATTAATGTGATATACCACATTAATAAACTGAAGAACAAAAACCATATGATTATGTCAATAGATGCAGAGATAGCATTTGATAAAATGCTTTCATGATAAAAAAAATAAGCAAATTGGGTATAGAAGAAACATTCCTCAACACATTCAAGGTAATTTATGAAAAACTCATGGCCAGCATCCTATTGAATGGGGAAAAGTTTGAAGCATTCCCAGCATTCCCACTAAGATTCAGAACCAGACAAGGATGCCCCACTATCACCAGTGCTATTCAATATAGTTGGAAGTTCCAGCCAGAGCCATTAGGCAAGAAAAAGAAATAAAAGGGATACAAATTGGGAAGGAGGAAGTCAAACTATCCCTATTTGCAGATGACATGATCCTATATATAGGGGATCCAAAAGACTCCACTAAGAGACTATTGGAATTCATAGAAGAGTTTGGTAACATGGAAGGATATAAAATTAGCACACAAAAATCAACAGCCTTTGTATATACAGACAATGCCTCAGCTGAGAAAGAACTTCTAAGATCAATCCCATTCACAATAGCTACAAAATAATTAAATACCTTGGAATAAATTTAACCAAGGACATCAAAGATCTCTATGATTAGAGTTACAAAGCATTAAAAAAAGAAATTGAAGAAGACACCAAAAAAAAAAAATGAGAAAATCTTCCATGTTCATGGATTGGAAGAATCAATATCATCAAAATGTCCATACTACTGAAAGCAATTTACAGATTCAATGAAATACCAATCAAAATACCAATGACATTTTTCTCAGATATAGAAAAAACAATGCTGAAATTCATATGGAAACACAGGAGATCCAGAATAGCTAAAGCAATCTTATGCAACAAAAATAAAGCCAGAGGCATCACAATACCAGATTTCAAGATATACTAGAGCACATTTATAAACAAAACAGCCTGGTATTGGCACAAAAATAGATGGCTAGAACAATGGAATAGAATAGGATAGAAACTCCAGAAATCAATCCACACATCTACAACTAACTTATCTTTGACAAAGGAGCTAAAATCAATCCTTGGAGCAAGAACAGCCTCTTCAACAAATGGTGCTGAAAAAACTGGATCTCCACATGCAGAAGTATGAAGCAAGACCCCTACCCTACACCTTATACAAAAATCCACTCAAAATGGACCAAAGACCTAAATCTACAACCCGATACCATCAAATTATTAGCGAACACTGGGGATACCCTGAAAGACATTGGCATAAGCAAAGACTTCTTGTAAGAGATCCCAGAGGCACAGGCAATCAAAGCCAAAATTGACAAATGGGATTACATCAAATTGAGAAGTTTCTGTACTGCAAATGAAATACTCAGCAAAGTGAAGAGGCAACTGAGAGAATGGGGGAAATTATTTGCAACCTATGCAACTGATAAAGGATTAATACCCAGAATATACAAAGTACTCAAGAAATTCTACAACAACAAAACAATAAACCCAGTTAAGAAATAGACAAAGGACTTAAACAGGCATTTTTCAAAAGAGGAAATCCAAATGGTTAATAGATAGAAGAAAAAATGTTCAGGATCACTAGCCATCAGGAATATGCAAATCAAAACCACAATGAGTTTTCACCTCACCTCCATTAGAATGGCTTTCATACAAAAATCAGCAAAAAAAAAATGCTGGTGAGGCTATAGGGAAAAAGGTACTCTAATCTACTGTTGATGAGAATGTAAACTGGTACAGCCACTGTGCAATACAGTATGAAGCTACCTCATAAATTTGAATGTAGACCTATGTTATGTAATTATGTAATTATGACCCAGATAATTTACCCAAGGGAAATGAAATCAGCATAGGAAAGAATTATCTGTGCCCCATGTTTATTGTAGCTCAATTCACAATAGCCAAGATATGGAATCAATCCAAATGTCTGTCAACTGAAGACTGGATAAAAAAATCATGGGATATGTACACCATGGAATACTACAGCAGTAAAAAAAATTAAATCTCATTTGCAACAAAATGGGTGCAAGTGGAAACCATTATACTTAGTGAAATAAGCCAATCCCAAAAGGATAAATACTATATATTCTCCCTGATCTGTGGTAACTGAGAGTACCTAAAAGGTAATCTATAGAAGTGCAATTGACACTTTTCGAGATGTGATAGCTTTGAACAGTCCTTGTCTCGACTGTTGAGGAACAGTTTTTTTCAACAATTTGCTAAACTTTGTACTTACATTGTATATTGTTAATCTTATGCATATAAAGTTAATTGAAAATAGATCTTATTAAGCAAATAAAAGATTTCTGCATTAAGAAAAATAAAGTACCTAGAGTAATAACTAGTAAAAAGTAGTTGCTGACATTGTTATAATATGGATGACAGCTGAGTGACCCTTATCCTCTATATTCATACTTAGAGATTTTGGGTTTTAAACATCGTTCATATATTCTGTTGCTGCTGTGTCTAGAACTGGCTACTGCAGTTCTAGGATGCTTCCTATGGGCTGATGTGCCTACACACTGTGAAAGCAAGAGATGTCTCCCTGCAGGAGGTTTAGGGCCCATTCTTTCTACTATTGGCTCAAAAACTTTTGTTTTCTTTGCTCTCCTATCTTCCACTTATGAATTAGGAGATTGGAGATAGAAAAAAAACCAACTTATTACCTGATCACTATGTCTCAGGAACTGTTCTAAGAGCTTGATTGACTGTATTGTTTAGAGCACAAAGAAGTTTAGTAACCTGCCAAGATCACCCAGTTAAGTGATAGAGTTAAGATTCAATCCCATGTTTAACTAGAGCCTTCAAATTGTGCTCCTCTACTGGGTGGGAGAAGATATTTCTGTGTCCCTTTAGACAAAGTAGATGAATGAAAAGAGAAACAACAGACATGGGGTAAGTACATGTGGCCCCAGTGTGGTCACCTCTCAGCTGTGTATTCTAGTTACCTTACTTTAACATCTTTGAATCTTTGTTTATGACTTTTTAAAGAGAAAAAATGAATTTCTTCTTACCTCAAAAGACTGTTCTGGGAATAAAATGAAACCACATATATGAAAGCGTATTAAAAACCATAAGGTTCTGTACAAATGATCAGTTATGCAGAAGCAGCCTTTTAAATTCAAATAACACTTTTTACGCCATTTAAATTATCTAGGAAATTAAAGCCCCAACAATATTTTTGCTTGAGTGCTCGAGATCAGTACCTTAATTCTGCTTTTCACATAAGATATAGGGATGCCAATCTCATACACAGTTCTCTTTGTTTAGGTTGATATATATCATTTGATCCTTTTAAAAACAAAACTTATGGATGAATAGGGTCATTTATTATACCAATAAACTATTAATAAGAAAAAAAATTAATTTTTCCCCCACAATGTGGAAGTTTAAGTTGGCTAAGATAACTTGATAAAGACTTACTCTGCTTTTTGTTTTTGGCTTTTAGACTGCTGGAGAATCTTGATGCCCATCTTAAATAGCTCATCCCCTTCATCTGTGATATTATCCTTTGCTTGATTTCTTACTAAATATGAACAAACAAGGAAAATTGTGAACATATTTCTATGTTTTATATTTTAAAAATCATGTGTTGGCATAATATGGTGGAACATTAGTTTAGGTTTTGCTCTACTTATTTTTTAGCCTCTGCATTTCAAGAAGCGCATTTGATGTTATTCCCTAGCTCAGGGGCATGGGTAGGTCAGAAGGCAGACTTTGCCTTCTCCTGTCTTTTGTGAAACAGTTTGGAGGGCAGAGAAGATAAAGAGATGCTTCTCATAGTAGGAGAAAAGAGATGCAAAATCTGCAAGCAGAAAGCAAGTTGCCTGGTATATCCTAGAAGCAGGATCCTAAGCACCATCCTCTTGGTCCTGAGTGGCAACAGCTCCATTGTTTGAGCATGGTTCATAAACCTCAGAACAATAAGATTCCAAGAGCACATAAGGACATGAGCAACAGGCAACTCCAAGATGACCAGTGTGCACTTAGGAGTGAATCAGAGAATGTTCTCAAAAATGTTGTTGTACATAAGGTTTTCTCCCTCCCTAGGACCTAAGACCTTGGAGAAGACACAGAGAATGCCAATAATAACTTGCTTTGTGGGGTGAGGGCTCAAATTCTGTTTCACAGGATTTAAGGAAAATAAAGAAATGGAAAGGAATTAAAACTGCTACAATACTGATATTTCCCAAACCTTTATAAATGCTACACAATTTTTAAATCACTGCTGTTTGGAGGAAGAGTCAGACTATAGCTTCTCTCCACTCAAAACACACACACACACACACACAGAGAGAGAGAGAGAGAGAGAGCCTTGCATATCACAATGACTTTTAAAGTCTATTGTAATACTCAGTGAAATCTCTGAATAGGCAAACCACACCTAAAACCATTTCAAAAGAAAAGCATTATGGATTTAATACCTCATTAATAAAACCACAGTAACTTTAAGTGGCTCTTGTTTTTCATCTTTCTTGTCAAGCTATCAGGGTTACCCAATTTCTTTTTTTAAATAAATAAAATTTTAGCAGATAAACTTAAAAGTCAACTAAAAATTATTTGAATGTTTCAAGTTATCCAATCAATTTAGTAAAATCAGACACTTTTAACATCTAATTTCTACTTTGAGTTATAAATTATCTATACTTATGATTAAAGGGAGGAGAATAATGTAAAATATCTACTACTAAAATCTGTGTGTGGAATAGCTATTGCTTCTATCAACATGTTTTCAAAAAGTGAAAACAAATTTTGAAAAGTTATCTTGATATGTATACGTAAGAATCAATTTAGCCTACAAATTCCTACTCATAACTTACTTTTATTTGTAGTTTTCTTTTAGATTCCGACATGTATTGAAATAATTTTTTTTTACTATAACAGTTCTCAACTAGCAGATAGTGTTATCTGAATGATGATTTAATTTTCTTTTTTATAGTTTCATGATTTCCAAATTTGGGAAAAGCAAAACCAGGAAATGATTTGCAGAGACCACCATTCTGGACTTGAGGAAGAGAGCCTTCTGGAGTCTGGAGCCATTGGAATTCCCAGCCAATGACTGGGTATTTTTAGTTCTGTTCCAATGGGAGCTTTATTTAGTCTCACTTGAGAAAAATATTGGGGATGAGTCTCAGGAATAAAAGAGTAGGGAGTAGCGATGCCAGATCACTATTTAAGATAGTGGCAAGTGTGGAAAATGCTCCAATTAGATGAATTTATGTTTCATTGTTTGTCAGATACACAATTTATAGAGAATTCTTGACATTTTGTGACTTTTTTGTTCTTATTGTTGACTGAAACAATTAGAGGCTGTTTGGAAAATCCAAGTTAAAGTTTATTCAGCTAGTCAAATTGAGCATTTAAACCTGTAAACAAAGAGCCGAATGTTTGAGTTGTTCATTCTTCAGCCCTGAGTTTGGTTACAGGTTTTTACAAGGTGAGTCATTTTTAAAACAATACAAATTGATATGTGGTTATCACACTGAAAATTGAATCCATTATTGGAAACTTAAGAATATCAGGAAGGTTAACAGATTTCAATATTGGTTAAGGAGGTATATTACATTCCCACAATCATTCCCATATTCTATGTGATATCTGTGCAGGTGGGGCAAAAAAAATGGAAACATTAATTTCCCCACAGATGTTGTCCTAACATACAAAGTACTCCTGATTAAGGATGAGTAGAAGTTTCCTTGGTCAGGGTTAGAGTTTCTTGAAAGGTCATGTTACCTAGGACCACCTGCAAGACATCTTCACAATATGGACAGTATTCTGGCTGACTTAGCCATCTGTAGTTACCATTCCACTATTAAGTCCACATTATCATTACTTCAGATATAACTAGATGCTGTTATGATCTGAATTGTTGTCCTCCACCTCCAAAACGGAAATCCCAGCTCTCAGTATTTAAGAATGCAACTTTACTTGGAAATTAAGTTAGTTTTAAAGGGTAATTAAGTTAAAATGATATTGTTTAGTGAGGCCCTAATCCAATATGACCAGTGTCCTTTCAGGAAAAGGAAGTAATACCAGAGATGCACACCCATACAGAAAAAAGACCATGTGAAGATGTAGGGAGGAGGTGGCCATGTACTAGCCAAGAAAAGAGGATTTAGAATGAACCTAAACCTGCCAACACTTTGATCTTAGGTTTCAGAACCGTGAAAAAAAAATCATGTCTGTTTAAGCAATTCAGTCTGTGATATTTTGTTATGACAGCTTTAGAAAACTAATAGAGATTCACTCTGGATTACATGGAAAAAAATTCTCCCTGCCTCTTTTTGTGGGAAAGGATATGCCTAAACTCAGCTTCCCCTCAGATTAGGGGTACCTTTTAAATGCATGATGGAATGTAATTTCCTGTGAGACCCAAGATCTCCATGTGCTGAATATCTGACTTTCATAAATAGCTTAAATAGCCCTCAAGGCCCTTCCTCATGATTATTCTCTAAGCAGTTAGTATAACAAATAGACTTGGACCCAGATCTCCTCTCTGTGGGATTTCAGAACAACTGGGGATCTATGTCTTCTCTTATTGCTTCTTCAATTGTGAATTTTCCTAATTAAATCTATTCCTTAATCCATATCATTTGTCATTGTGTAATTCATGAAGAATTATCTTGTTTAATAATTACTAGAAGGAAATCTTTGGGACAAAAAGGATCCACTTGCTTTTTTTCAGATGCTAGTGAGAAAGAAGAGAGAAAAGGACAACTTGTTTCCTATCATTCATTTATTCATTGACTTATTCACTCAAATCAAAATGTACTGAATATCTTATCATGTATTAGACACAGTTTTAGATACTGTTAATAATGAAATGATCTAGGCATTATTTCAGTCTGGCAGTAGAGACAGATTTGTTTCCAGAAAATTATAATGCCATGGGATAGGCATACATTTGATATATAATATAATATGATATAGAATGACACTGTAGCATCCTGGCAGGGGAGAAAGACTTGTTTCCATACCATTATAGTACCATGGGATAGGCATGTATATAATATAATATAATATAATATAATATAATATAATATAATATAATATAATATGGGATGGCACTATGTGAGTACTCTATAAACAACAGAAACCTAATGTGATTGACGTATGCAAAGGAACTTATTGAGAGACTTGAAAGCTCATGGAATCTCTGGAGTGAGGCCAGAACTAAGTCATTTTTGGAGGCAGAGAAGCAGATGCTGCTATTTAGATGGACTGAAAGTCACTGTGCTCCAGACTCCATGGAGAACAAATCTGATGGACCTGGTTTGGGATAACAGGGCTTCTCATTACATTCCTGTAAGAAAATATAAATTGGAGAAGACCTCATTCCTCAAAAGGAAATTTGATAATGAGAAAGGTAAAAGGAATAATGAAAGGCCCCAAACAATAAATGATCAGTGCAGGCACCTTCTTCTAGCTAAGTGAAATGAAGACATCTTTTATTGAAGAGACATTTTAAATAACTCTTCAAATGTAGGTAGAAGTTTATTAGATCAAGAAGGTGAAAATGGCATTCCATTTGGAGAAAACAGCTTATGCGAATGAAACATGGGTGTGAAAGTACAGGGCAGTGTGGCTTGAGTGAAGAATGAGAATTTTTTTTTAAAGATTGATTTATTTGAAAGGCAGAGTTACAGAGAGGAAGAGGCAGAGGCAGTGAGACAGAGCAAGAGCGAGAGGAAGATATATTTTCCATCCACTGGTTCACTCCCCTAAAACCACAACAGCAAGGGCTGAGCCAGGTCAAAGTCAGGAGTGGAACTTCATCAAGGTCTCCCCTGTAGGTCAGGGACCCAAGTACTTGGGCTATCATTGGCTTGCTTTCCCAGTCACAATAGCAGGGAGCTGGATCATAAGTGGAGCAGCCAGGACTCAAACCAGCACCCATACGGGATGCTGGCATTGCCAGTGGTGGCTTAACCCACTGTACCACAGATGCCAGCATTGAAGAATGAGAATCTGAGAAACATAATTGGTCATGCAGTCCAGATTGGCTGTCAAAGTGACTCTAAGTGTACTGAAGCATGGAGAGCGAGTGGGATGAGAAATGATTATAAAGGTGAATACAAGTTTAGTAGAAGAAAGAGAGTGGCAAGAGGGGCCTCTGAGCCAAGATAATTATTTTAGAGCTCAAAATCATATTGGTGAAATGAGTCACTCTGGAGAAACTGAGACAATGGTGATTGATTTGAGAATGTTCAGCAAGGTCTTTAACAGGTCGTTTAGGAACTGGACAGGATGGTGGTAGCATGTAGTTTTTGACTAACTGATGTGTAGACATAATAGCCCAGCCCCCTTGCACCAGAGGACAATACTCTAGTGCAATCCACTTGTCAAGGTTCTAATTTTCTTCTGAAACCCTAGCTCTACTCAGCATTTTCCCTTGCCCTATGCTGCACTGTACTTAATGTTTCATGACAAAATCTAAAACCTTAACATTCAAATTAGACACAAAGAAATAAACACTATAGAAATCATTCAGAAAAATAAAAGAAAAATAATAATGAATTCATTAAT